AGCTTGTCCTATCTATGCTTTACTGCCAACATGCAGACAGAAGGCTAATTGGTTGTTAAATAATTCCTTTACTGGAAAATATTTCCACCTATTCATGCTAAATGTGACAGATTTTACAGATGCCCATTTTCTTTCAATTAGCCTGAAAATAATGAATCTGCCTATTTATTTGTCTCAGATTCTCAGGACCCACTTCCATCTTGTAGAACCACTGTTTGTCCTTGGAGACATGAGTGCATTATGGAGAATGGAAAGCCAAGGTGTATTCCTCTGAATGTTGATGCATGCTGGGCTTCAGGAGACCCCCATTACACTACCTTTGATACACGTCACTATGATTTTATGGGGACATGTACATATACTCTGGTGAATGTCACTAAAGATGCTGTGATGACTCTTAAACGCTTTACAGTTCTGGCCAAAAATGATAATCGAGGAAATGTTGCTGTTTCCTATGTGGCTCTGGTAACCTTCAAAACAAGCGGCTACACTATCGATATCAAGAAATGGGAAGTTGGCTATGTGAGAGTGAGTACAAAGGCAGAACCCATACCTTTTACTGAATTTCCGCTATATGCATAAAATATGGAACAAAAGGAGAATTTACATATTAACTGTTTAAATATTCCATATAAAAACAGTTTTTATGTTTTATTTAGCTGTCCTTATAACCAACCTAGGAAACCACAACAAAAGCAATTCGGGAATAGCTGTGTAAATCTACAGAGATAACATAAAACAAAACATAGTGTAATATTGTTACAAAATACAATATTCTGTGCGCAATTATCGGTTGCACTCACTAGATAAGAGTAGATATAAACGCTCTTAGGGTGCCTCCCCTGGTGTAATGGGGGGCCAAACAATCCTTCTGTTCACCTCCAAGTTCGTATTCCACCAAAAGACACCCACAGGTCAGGGTTTAGAAAAGTGAAAAAGATTTATTCAATAAAAATATAAGCAGTCACCAATTTAGCATAGGATATGGATGCAGAAAGATAGTCCTACGCGTTTCGTTCATTATGAACTTCCTCAGGGACCGCAATAAAATAATCACCATGTATAGATACAAAGTATAAAATAAACATATCCTAAAAACAACCCCCCTCCCTGTGTCCTTAAATAGGGCTAATCCCTTAAGTCCATTGGTGGATTCAGTGGGTATAGATCCTTTTTCTTCTTTGATTGGAGGAGAGAACTCCCTCCATCAGCTGTTTTATCACCATTCCAATCCAAAACGAGCGCCCTTTTCCGCCGAAAACCGGAATTCGTCATCATCACCGGAACCGGAAGTGACGTCATGAAACCGGAAGTGGCGTCACAAACTTGTTTGCGTTCCAATATGCGTTACAGTTGTGTTGTCTCCATAGCAACCCAGCATATTAATCTCAGCCACAATGTATATAATACAGGGAAGCCAATTATAGCCCCCAAATTCTGCTAAAGAAAAAAATGTTAACCATCTGTGGTTTAAATTATTTTCATTTATTTTATACACTGAATAATGGCAGCAGTTATTATATTGTATTAATCACTATTTGAATCATAAAAAATTATGAATACATTAAATCAAAATCTGAACCAAAACATGGTCGAATAAAAAAATATATAAAGGGAAATAATATACCAATTATCAAAACTTAAGAAACTCTTAGCTTGAAAATTCCACCGCTTAAAGGTGAAAAGGTCTTTTATTCTTAAAGGAACACCTCTTCAGAAAATATACATACAAACATTTTGACCAAAAAATTATTACTATTACCTAAATCCTTAACTACTACCCTTTTGATTTCCAAACACTTGAAACCTCTAAATGAAAACGAGGGACATTGTATGCAGTGGGCAGGGACTGAGTGTGTCAATAGTCCCTTTTTAATATTATTAAGATGTTCTAACAAGCGAACCTTCAAAAACCTCTTGGTCTGTCCCACATATTGTATGCCACACGGACATTGTAATAAATATACCACAAAGTCCGTGTGGCAATTAATATCATCTTTAAGTTGAAAATTCTCCCCCATAACAAAACTAGAGAAGGAATGTATATATGTAACCGATGCCGTAGCACAAGCTTTACAGGAACCACAGCCCCGAAAAGAACCTGAGCGGGTAGAAGTATAAACTGTTGGTGGTTTAATGGCATAACTTGGTGCCAACATATTCTTGAAATTTTTATTCTTTTTTATAAATAACCATGGGGTTATCTGGTAAATACACTCCCAAAATGGGGTCCTGTAGCAAAATGGGCCAACAACCTTGAAGGCTTCTCTTAATTCTATTATGATCAGTATTAAGATGAGTAATGAAAGCTGAACGAAAACCATTCCTAGTATCTGAGGGACATAGCTTATTTTCCAGTAAAGTTTCCCTTTCCATATCACCAATTCTCCAAATTTCTCTCTCTAGCTCTTTACTCTTATATCCTCTATCAACAAGTTTCTTTTTAATATGTGATGATTGGGAATAGAAGTCTTGTATATCTGAGCAATTCTGCCTCAGATGAGTAAATTGACTTCTAGCAATTCCCTTAAGCCAAGGGTGATTATGGCCACTCTTGCGGTGAACAAACCCATTACCATCTGTGGGTTTAAAGAAGCATTTACTCCTAATATGTCCTGAATCATGGGACAAGGTGAGATCAAGAAAATTGATCTCCTACCTGTTCCACACAGGAGAGAAAACCAAGTGATACTCATTGGTGTTCAAAAAATTGACGAAGTTCTGAAATAAAGTAAAAGACCCCTTCCAAATAATGATAACATCGTCAATGTAATGCTGCCATAGGACCAAGCTCGCCCTCCAGTCATGTTCAGACCACACAAATAACTCCTCCCACCTCCTCATGTAGATGTTGGCATAATTGGGGGCGAACTTGGTTCCCATGGCGTTCCCCGTGATTTGCAATAAAATAATCACCATTAAAGAAAAAATAATTGTGATATAAAATAAATCAAACAGAAGAAAAAACAAAATCCCTCAAATCGACTGGTAATTCTGTATCTTGTTCCATAAAGTAGTTGATCGCTTCCAGATGTAACGGCATCGGTTACATATATACATTCCTTCTCTAGTTTTGTTACGGGGGAGAATTTTCAACTTAAAGATGATATTAATTGCCACACGGACTTTGTGGGATATTTATTACAATGTCCGTGTGGCATACAATATGTGGGATGGACCAAGAGGTTTTTGAAGGTTCGCTTGTTAGAACATCTTAATAATATTAAAAAGGGACTATTGACACACTCAGTCCCTGCCCACTGCATACAATGTCCCTCGTTTTCATTTAGAGGTTTCAAGTGTTTGGGAATCGAAAGGGTATCCCCCCCCCTTTGGCGTGGGGGAAATAGAGTCCAGAGACTAGCCCAGAGAGAGACTTTCTGGATTCATAAACTACGGACCCTCACGCCAAGGGGTTTAAACATTGATATTAACTTAACATGTTTCTTGGACTAATATGGTCCAAGTAATATTTGGTATTGACATATTTACTTGGATAGATTAGGTATGCGTGCTTGTCCCCATTGTGGGACTTTTTTCTACAGTTGAGGACTAACCCCTATGGAGAATGGTTCTGATATTGTACAACAAACAGTTATAATTTGTTTTAAGGGTTTATATGGGGTGTTACATAGTTAAGGATTTAGGTAATAGTAATATTTTTTTGGTCAAAATGTTTGTATGTATATTTTCTGAAGAGGTGTTCCTTTAAGAATAAAAGACCTTTTCACCTTTAAGCGGTGGAATTTTCAAGCTAAGAGTTTCTTAAGTTTTGACAATTGGCATATTATTTCACTTTATATATTTTTTTATTCGACCATGTTTTGGTTCAGATTTTGATTTAATGTATTCATAATTTTTTATGATTCAAATAGTGATTAATACAATATAATACCTGCTGCCATTATTCAGTGTATAAAATAAATGAAAATAATTTAAACCACAGATGGTTAACATTTTTTTCTTTAGCAGAATTTGGGGGCTATAATTGGCTTCCCTGTATTATATACATTGTGGCTGAGATTAATACCCTGGGTTGCTATGGAGACAACACCACTGGAACGCATATTGGAACGCAAACAAGTTTGTGACGCCACTTCCGGTTTCGTGGCGTCACTTCCGGTTCCGGCGATGATGACGACTTCCGGTTTTTGGCGAAAAAGGGCGCTCGCTTTGGATTGGAATGGTGATAAAACAGCTGATGGAGGGGGTTCTCTCCTCCAATCAAAGAAGAAAAAGGATCTAACACCCACTGAATCCACCAATGGACTTAATGGATTAGCCCTATTTAAGGACACAGGGAGGGGGGTTGTTTTTAGGATATGTTTATTTTATACTTTGTACCTATATATGGTGATTATTTTATTGTGGTCCCTGAGGAAGTTCATAACGAACGAAACGCGTAGGACTATCTTTCTGCATCCATATCCTATGCTAAATTGGTGACTGCTTATATTTTTATTGAATAAATCTTTTTCACTTTTCTAAACCCTGACCTGTGGGTGTCTTTTGGTGGAATACGAATTTTGAGGTGAACAGAAGGATTGCTTGGCCCCCCATTACACCGGGGGAGGCACCCTAAGAGCGTTTATATCTACTCTTATCTAGTGAGTGCAACCGATAATTGCGCACAGAATATTGTATTTTGTAACAAAATTACACTATGTTTTGTTTTATGTTATCTCTGTAGATTTACACAGCTATTCCCGAATTGCTTTTGTTGTGGTTTCCTATATATGATATAGGTCGTTTTTTGGGTAACGACCTAGGGAGGCTGTTACACGTTATCTGAAGTTAAGTATCATTGTGTGTTATATTTTATTTCTTGCACTATTTGTATCTTTTGGTGATATCTTTGTTTGCTTATAACCAACCTGCATGTTTTATTGATTAATGGTTGGTTTTGATGTTTGTTTTCCTATTATCATTCTTACCTGTTTTCCCTGAATGTCCTGTACACACATTTATTTGTTTCTCCTATCCTAAATTCCTTTGAACAGGTCAATAACGTAATGTCCCTTCTGCCAGTGAACCTGAATAGTGGAACTGATTCTATGATAAACATTTTCCAAAGTGGGAACACAGCAATCATCCAGTTCACGACTGATGTAATGGTATCGTATGATTGGGATAGCGTTGTACGCATTGAGCTCACAAGGCGTTATTCAAAGAATGTTGAAGGCATGTGCGGGAATTACAACCAGGATCCGGCAGATGACTTTCAAATGCCTAGCGGCTCACAGGCCCCTAATGCCATTGAATTTGGAAAGAGTTGGAAGGTAAGACATTTTTATGACTGGATTCAAAATCTGTATTATTTTTTACTGTTTTAAGAGTTCAAGTATTTGATTGCCAAATGTATGTACTTCCAGTAAAATAATAGATATACGGAGTGAGCTCTAGATGTTTCTGGGTTTTTTGCCCCTTTGATGAGACACTGCACTTATTGAAACCTGAGTGAAAAATCATTCCTGGCCACCAGTTATTAAACCTATTATAGAATACAAAGCCCTAATAGCTGTTTGCTGTTTGCTTGTCAACATCAGAAGAAAGGCAACATCAGCAGAAAGTGTTTGTCAAATATCAGAAATAAGTGAAAAGTGAAATAACAAAGGGTGACTGTAGGCCGTTCCCCTCACTTCCATTCTTGCTCAAGCAGAATAGTGAATGTCCGAGGTTCCTGGGACCCTAAATTACTTTACTCACTTTTTCATGTACTCAGGGTGTGGTAACATAGAATTATTGTGCAGGGTCATTGTTAGTTTTTTAGTCACAGGGTCTTAGCACCCAGATCCTTCTGAATCACTACCTTGCCGTGGTGAAGGGGCTTGTATACTTCAATGAACCATGTAGGGGCACCCAAGATGGGCAGGTCATAGCAGAGAAGTCAGACAAATCGCGGTCCACTAGAGAAGGAACTAGTAACCCACTCCAGTAACTTTGCTAAGATAACTATATGGACAAGCACAACCAGAGACATAATGATATGTCATTGGAAGATGAGCCCCTCAGGTCAGAAGGTGCCTACCACATTACTGAGGTAGAGTAGAGTGCGAGTACGAGTAGCACCAGATCTACTGTCCAAGGGGACACCCAACTGCGGATGTGTTTGGAGGGGAAAGGAAAGTCTGCTGTTGCAAAGAACAATTTAATAAAACTGGGTATTGAAAAGTTACCTTTCATGCCTAAATTGGTGTGATAAAAGACAAAAATGGCAGGGACTTAAAAGAATAAGATCAGATAAAGAAGAGATGGCAGGAATACACTGAAGATCTTTGCAGGAAGGATCTTAACAGCAGTGAAGACCTCAATAGTTGGTCCGATGAGATGGAATCAGAAATCTTGGAGAGCAAAGTGAGATGGGCCATACAAGGCCTTACAGATAACTAAACTGCAGGAGTTGATGAAATCCCAATTGAACAATTTAATATTCAGCAAGATGAGGGTGTGAAAATTCTGCTTGCCTTATGCCAACAAATTTGGAAAACTCAACAGTGGCCAAAAGACTGGAAAAGGTCAGTCTACATCCCAATCCCAATCCCAAAAAAAGGCAATACCAAAGAGTGCTCCAATTATCGAGTTTCACATGCAACTAATTTCACATGACAGCAAAGTAATTATTAAGATCCTACAAGCTCAACTCAAACAATATATGGACCAGGAATTACCAGATGTACAAGCTGGGTTCCGCAGAGGACGAGGCACAAGAGATTAAATTGCCAATGTACGATGGATAATAGCGAAAGCCAGAGAGCTCCAGAAAAACACCTACTTCTGCTTCATAGACTATTCTAGAGCATTTGACTGTGTGGATCACAGCACCATGTGGCAAGTTCTTAAAGAGATGGTAGTACCAGATCATCTCATCCAGCTCCCGAGGAATCTGTATGTGGACCAGTCTGAACATGGGACAACAGAATGGTTCAAGATTGGGAAAGGAGTGCGACAAGGTTGTATATTGTCACATTATTTATTCAACTTATATGCGGAATACATAATGCGTAAGGCTGGGGTGGATGAATCCAAAGCTGGAATCAATATTGCTGGAAGAAATATCAACAACCTCAGATATGTGGATGATACTACTCTGATGGCTGAAAGTGAGGAAGAACTAAAAGGACCTGTTAATGAGGGTAAAAGAAGAGAGTGCAAAAGCTGGCTTGCTGCTTAATGTTAAAAAGACTAAGATCATGGCAAACAGCAATCTTAGTTCTTGGCAAATCGATTGGGAAGAAGTGGAGGCAGTGACAGATTTTATTTTCCTGGGATCCAAGATCTCTGCAGATGGTGACAGTAGTAATAAAATTAAAAGACGTTTGCTTCTGAGGAGGAAAGCTATGGCAAGCTTGGACAAGCTGGTAAAAACTAAAGATATTACACTATCAACAAAGGTCCATGTGAAGAGACCAATCTCGCCACTGTGCATTGGAGGAGCCTGGTTGCCTGCCTGCTGCCTTTTGACGATGGACCAGCATTTAAATACCCTATTTTCCTATGCATAAAGGTCTATTCATGTTTTCTGCCCTGGCGTTTGGTAGATTCTCGGATTTACTGAATGAACTCATAACCCAGATAGCAATGCCATGGAGCCTATTCATGTAATAAAAGACTTTGGCTCCATGGCAATTGAACTGTATGTGTTTGTGGTCTGAGCGCCATTCAGTATTGTGCGCTCAGACCAAAGCTATCTGGGCATATGTTGCATGTCTGTATTTTATGTCATAAATGTAAACTTGTGTATTTTATTGTATTTTATAGTGATGCACCGAAAGGTTCGCTGGCGAATAGTTCCTGGCGAACATAGCATGTTCGCGTTCGCCACGGCGGGTGAACATATGTGCGGTTCAATCCGCCCCCTATTCGTCATCATTGAGTAAACTTTGACCCTGTACCTCACAGCCAGCAGACACATTCCAGCCAATTAGCAGCACACCCTCCCTAGCAGACCCTCCCACCTACTGGACAGCATCCATTTTAGATTCATTCTCAAGCTGCATGCTTAGTGAGAGGAGGGAAAGTGTAGCTGCTGCTGATTTGATAGGGAAATGGATAGCTAGGTTAGTGTATACAGTGTCCACTATAGTCCTGAAGGACTCATCTGATCTCTGCTGTAAGGACAGCACCCCAAAAATCCCTTTTTAGGGCTAGAACATCAGTCTGTTGTTTTTTTTTTTTTTGTGTAATGTAATTGCAGTTGTCTGCCAGCTTCTGTGTCAGGCTCACAGTGGATACAGTGCCCACCTGCCCAGTGCCACCACTCACTCACTGGTGTCACAATAGCTTGCATTTAATTTTTTTTTCCACTATAATAGATTGAATAGCAGTTAGTTGTCTGCCAGCTTCTGTGTCAGGCTCACAGTGGATACTGTGCCTACTTGCCCAGTGCCACCACTCACTCACTGGTGTCACAATAGCTTGCATTTAAAATTTTTTTTTTCACTATAATAGATTGAATAGCAGTTAGTTGTCTGCCAGCTTCTGTGTCAAGCTCACAGTGGATACTGTGCCCACTTGCCCAATGCCACCACTCACTCACTGGTGTCACAATAGCGTGCATTTAAAAACCAAAAAACTTTTTTCACTGTTATAGATTGAATAGCAGTTAGTTGTCTGCAAGCGTCTGTGTGTCAGGCTTGCAGCGTATACTGTGCCCTCTTGCCCAGTGCCACCACTCACTCACTGGTGTCACAATAGCTTGCATTTAAAAAAAAAATATATATATTTCACTGTAATAGATTGAATAGCAGTTAGTTGTCTGCAAGCGTCTGTGTGTCAGGCTCGCAGCATATACTGTGCCCACTTGCCCAGTGCCACCACTCACTCACTGGTGTCACAATAGCTTGCATTTAAAAAAAAAAAATGTATTTCACTGTAATAGATTGAATAGCAGTTAGGTGTCTGCAAGCGTCTGTGTGTCAGGCTCGCAGCGTATACTGTGCCCACTTGCCCAGTGCCATCGTTCACTCACTGGTGTCACAATAGCTTGGATTTAAAAAAAATTGTTTTCACTGTAATAGATTGAATAGCAGTTAGTTGTCTGCAAGCGTCTGTGTGTCAGGCTCGCAGCGTATACTGTGCCCACTTGCCCAGTGCCACCACTCACTCACTGGTGTCACAATAGCGTGCATTTAAAAACCAAAAAACTTTTTTCACTGTTATAGTTTGAATAGCAGTTAGTTGTCTCCAAGCGTCTGTGTGTCAGGCCTACAACGTGTACTCTGCCAACCTCTGCCAGTTCACAGTGCCACTCATATCTGGTGTCACAATAGCTTGCATTTAAAAACAAAAAACTTTTTTCACTGTTATAGATTGAATAGCAGCTAGTTGTCTCAAAGCGGGTGTGTCAGCCCTACAGCGTGTACTCTGCCAACCTCTGCCAGTTCACAGTGCCACTCATATCTGGTGTCACAATAGCTTGCATTTAAAAACAAAAAACTTTTTTCACTGTTATAGATTGAATAGCAGTTAGTTGTCTCAAAGCGGGTGTGTCAGCCCTTCAGCGTGTACTCTGCCAACCTCTGCCAGTTCACAGTGCCACTCATATCTGGTGTCACAGCAGCTTGCACACATAGTACCACTAATCGAAAAAAAAATGACAGGCAGAGGCAGGCCATCCCGCAGGGGCCGTCGTGGTCGTGGTGCTGTGATTCCCTTTTGCCCTAGAATAATGCCCAGTTTTCAGAGGCCAGGTACCCTGAACTTGAAAAGTTCTGAGGACATAGTTGACTGGCTAACACAGGACACCCAATCTTCTATAGCTTCCGCTCAGAACCTTGATGCAACATTCTCCTCCAGCTTAGCTGTGGGCACCTCTCAAGATACCACACCACCAACACTAGCACCACAGCCGCTTCACTTGGTATGTAAGAGGAGTTATTTACACATCCATTTGAAGAAATGAGTGATGCGCAACCATTATTGACAGAGGATGTAGATAACAGGGATATGTCTCAGTCAGGCAGCATTACACATGTACGGTGTGATGATGATGATGTTGTACCCGCTGCTGCTTCCTTTGCTGAGTTGTCATATACAAGTGAAGCGGTTGATGATGACGATGCGTCCATGGATGTCACGTGGGTGCCCGCTCGGCAAAAAGAAGAACAGGGCGAAAGTTCAGATGGGGAGACAGAGAGGAGGAGGAGACGAGTTGGAAGCAGGGGGAGGTCGTCGCAAGGAGCTAGTGGCACAGTCAGACAGCATGCATCGGCACCCGGGGTCAGCCCGACAGCACGCCAATCAACGCATGCTGTGTCCACCACCAGAATGCAGTCA